ATAATTTATTTTAAAATATTAATATTTGGTTCATAAATAATTATGATAAATAAAAATTGAATTAGATAAAAAATTATTTTTTTAAAACCTTTTGTATAAGATAAATATTATTGTTTAATATAATAGAATTTATAGTTTTTAATAATTTCATAATGTTGGTGTCAATAAACAAATAAAAATTCATAATGTAGATATCTGTATGTACAGATAACTTACCATCTGCACCACCCCAATATTGTGTAGATATTCATTTAATTATTCAAATTCAATCTATAGCAAAATTCATCTATAGATATCTATTGGTACAGATTTTTACTTTTATTTTTTCATTCCTAATTGGCAGGGTCCGTTTATTTATATTTAGCTTACTTTAGTTGCCAATGAATTCTAAAGGCGCACCTTGTCGATTGCAACTGCACCATAAGTCGATTACTTTTTAGGTGAAAGAGTATTGAGGGTGAAATTCATGTTCTGGGTTACCGTGCTAGTTGAAAGTATTAGCGATGTCACAATAAAATATATAGCAATAAATAATTGTCCACAAAGAACTGCAAAACTAGTTCGAAGAGGCACAATTTGTGATATTAAAGATGGGGGCTTCTTTGATTAGTTCCTCTGTCTTAAATGGAAATGTAAGACTTAAGAAATAAATTTATATGTGTTTTGTACATTGCGACTTCAATGTAATTGAAACAATCCTTCAAATCCAGGTATAGCAAATGGAATTCTATGCCTAATTCCTAAGCAGGTTGAAAAATTAGCAGATATGCGTCATCCTTCCGGTGCGATTATGTGGCTTCTCGTTTTCTATCCCTAGATAGTACATACTAACAGTTAGTTAAACTTTTCCACCTTTCTTTTCTTTCTCCTCACTCGTATTTTCTGACTAATAGGAGAGGAGGAGCTTCTGCGGCACATATCTTCTCAGTTAAGTAAAATATTCTTTCTAACTAATTTCCTATATAGAATAGTTTACTTATTTATTTTTTAAAAAATATTTTTATTATAGTTTATAAGCTCTGTTTTGAAATAAAAAATATATAAGCTTGAAGAAACTATAAGGTCTCCGGAGATGCAATCGAAAATGATAAAAGTAAGCGCTTTCCAGTTGGATATAAATCAAAACATTACTTTTAAAGAAATTGAACGACCACATTCTTGAAGGGATAAAGTCATCCACGTTACTTCAAAATAAATTGAGTAGCACATGCCTTTATTTTAAAACAATAATCTAGCTAAGATGCATACAGTCAACATTATTATTTTTTACTGCATTTTATTTGCTTTTAACGAGACTACTCTACTCTCAAAGTAACGCTCATTGTTTGAATGTATTTAAAAAATAATAATATTCCAGCGAGGCTTCCATCAGATGCGAGACTAACTAAGTTCTCGGTTCTCTATTATATCTCTATTATATATACCAATTCAGTCGAGGCACTATATTTTATTTTAAAAAACTAAAACAATAAAAATCGAGATTAAGTAATAAAAATACTTTACTTAATTTCTAATATTATTTAAAAAAATTAAGAATAAATTTGTAAAAATAAATGTGGAGATGAAAAAACACTCATGTATCTTCATTACATATAAGTATAAATAAATTGATAAATAGAAACTGATTTCATATCTTTACTAAGATATATTTTTAGTTGTGAACTTCGAGACACTGACCATGTTTATGACAAAAATAAATATTTTAAGGAAAGTTTTATTAATCTTATAATATTATTTCTAAACGGAAAAAAAATACAACTTAAAGATCATGTATTAAAGATAAAAATATTTTGAAGGAAAGTTTCATTAATCTTGTAATATTCTTTCTAAACTGTCCCGGTTATAAATGAAAAAAAATAAAATAAAAGATAATACATTAAAAAAAAATAAAAATATTTTATTAAGAGCTTGTTTAATGAGGCAATCAAAAGTAGTTAAAATTTGCTATAAGAATATTTTTTTGCCCTTATAACAAATGTGAGTCATTCAAATTTGACATACGATTAAACTAAGCATAGGATGTGGAACTAAGAACTAAGAAGGGCTTACAGAACAGAAGATACCAAAAATAGGCAAAAGCAAGATATTCAAAGGAGAATAATAACCAAGGAAGATTGCGGGGCATTACAAAGCAATTGAACAGAGTAAGATTCTGGTTTGTTGCCTCACTTACAGGCTTAGAATATATATATCCAGTTATAAGTCGGTAAATAAAGGACAAAGAACGAGGCAACCATATAATGTAATACCGAAGACAAGCCAATTTCCAAAAGTTGAAGACATGCAAGCTAAGTTAAAATGAAATGTCAGTCTAGTGTCTAGAGTCTGGATAACTATACAAATGCCCCACATCAGAGCAAAACTGTAATCCCAACAATTAACATTACATAGAGTGACATTAACAAGCTTCTAGAGTGCAAAAAATAATCGAGTTAAAAACTAACAGAAGGGGGCATTCATAAGGGGCCATACATGGTTCATTAGCTCTTCTATCGTAAAATTTCGACAAAATATCAAATTCAGAGTAAAATTTGAACCCTAAATAGAAGTTGGGAATAATGAACCCTCTATCCAAGAGGCTGAGTTCAAAATGATGGGGGGAAAAAGAAGAGAAAAGATAGTTGCATTCACATAACCCCCGTTTTGTCAAGTTATCAATTCTTTTATAGTCGAGGGAGGTTTAAATATCCAATGTTCGAGATCCTTAACTAATTTCAGAGCCCTTGTACTTATAAATAACCCAAATTAAAATCGATCAACATGTAACATCACGTGCTCGTGTTGACGAAAATCAACAAATTAGGTATGAAATTTGACAAATTATTTTACTATCATGTCACGTGTTGAAGCAAAGAGATTTGAATGGATGCAACAAAAAACGGCTTACTATCATTCTCTCATAATTAGTACGCCAAAGAACGCAAAAACAAATCATAGTAAGAAAAAGAGTGAGGGGAGGGAACAACTGAAACTATTAAGCCAAATGGTGGATCCAGGACGACGATTAACGCAACAATAAGAAAATCCCCAAAAGAAACCCTAGTTTAGCATAGGAAAGAAATGGTAAAAGTAAAAGCAAATAAACTCAATAATCGTCATGATTCAAACATGGATTTAGACAAAAAGAAAGAGAGAGAGAGAGAGAGAGAGAGAGAGAAGTGGGTGGTTCCTAGCAGAAGAAGAAAAGGCAAGGTTGATATACGAAACGAAAGGGATGGATTGATTAACGGACGTGGTTCCTAGCAGAAGAAGAAAAGGCAAGGTTGATATAGGAAACGAAAGGGATGGATTGATTAACGGAGTCATCTGTTCAATCGCGATTCTTGAAGCGTTCGAGGCGCTGGTTCAACTGCTCGATCCTGACGACGAGGCTGGTGACGGAGTAAAAGAGCCAGTAGAAGAGGAGGGCGGAGGCGATGAGGAGCGCGTTGCGCTGGTTCGGAGGGGGTGCAGGACTCACCTTCGCAGGTGGATTTTTGTTCCATCAGAAGGAAGAGACAAAAGGGCACCATAGGGCGGAGGCGATGAGGAGCGCGTTGCGCTGGCTCTTCATGATGGATTTCTGGTGGCGGAGGTGTTCGGAGGGGGTGCAGGACTCACCGTCGCAGGTGGGGCGCGTCTCGTATTTCCAATAGATGTCCATCAGAAGGAACAGGCAAAAGGGGACCACCGAGAGGAAGGGTTTCAGCAGGTTCCGCGTGACCGCCACCAGACCCTTGCGCAGCGCGTCCAGCCCAGGGATCGTTAGCAGGATCACCATTATCGCCTCTGCAGCCGCGGCGTACCCTAGCACTACCCACTCCAGCGCCATCAGATCTCCGCTTACGATGTGAATTGTGATGTCAATAGAAGAAGAGGAGGGCGGAGGCGATGAGGAGCGCGTTGCGCGGGTTCGGAGGGGGTGCAGGACTCACCGTCGCAGGTGGATTTCTGTTCCATCAGAAGGAAGAGACAAAAGGGCACCACCGAGAGGAAAGGACAACGACAAGCCTGAACCCTAAGCATGAACAAACGAACCTGAACGAACGAAGCAGAGAGTGGAGGCCGAAATTGTAGAAACGGAAAAGGATATTTAAGATCGGTTATCTAAGAACCGATTTTGTATGTCACATACGAAATCGGTTCTTAACCGATCTTAAAAGTAGTTAAAAAGACATGATTTAAAATCAGTTAAATTGTGACCGATTTTAAAAATAAATTTTAAAATCGGTTATATTTGAACCAATCTTAAAAAATTGTGATGTCAATAGAATGCTATGCTTCTTTTACTTTTCTTCCTGCTTCCTCTTCGGACACGCAATTCAAGCCTTTTATATATACCCTTTCCATGTAACCGTAAGCGGACACGTGCTCTACACGTCGCACGCACTTCAAGCCCAAGCCCAAGCCCAAGCCCCGTTTATTAGCCTCATTTGCGGAGGCCCAAATGACATTACATTTGGGCTTGGTGTATAACCCCATAACCACTAATTACACGGAGCAGAGCTTTATTTTTCTTATAACCATCCACTTTTAACTTAGGTGGGATATGAAGACGAAAATGAAGGAGGAAATGATCGTGGAGCATTATATAACGAAGGTTCCTACTCTTCACACATATGCCAGAGCTGCAACTGCAAGAAGATAACTACCCGTCGAAAGTAGAATCTTACCTTTTCCAATAGTGCCACATTGCAAAACAAAGAAGCAAGTGTAAGCCACTCTTGCTTTACACGCCTTTCTTAGATCGATAGGCTTTTTAAAAGGTGTAACCGTCCAAAACAGGTTATGTCATTCACTATGTAAATTATTATGCTAGACTCTCTTTTGGTACTTTCCTCGTCAATTTCATTCTCCCCTTATATTCATCAAGTTAGCTTTTTAACTACTACTGAATTGGATAATACAGTAACAACTTATTAAATTAAATTTATTTCTAATTCATGGCCTCATTGATTAAAGTATGGCTGAATTCATCTCAAAAACCATGGATAATTCATATACATGTAAGAAACATAAAATATGTTTGTGGATAATCATGGATGTCCATGAGGATCAATGGACCACAATGTATGTTGTTAAATTATCTTCAGATTTTAATGAATTGAGAATGATTGATTTAGGTTTTTGTTCCCCGAATTCATATGACTAAATTATACATTTTCTTTTTCTTCAGATAACTATAAAATGGTCCCTGCATGGATTCTCTTTATTTGTTACCAATGTTGTAGTTATCTAATTTGCAAAAACAAAAGTGGTAGTGTGTGGACGAGGGGTGTCTTTAACCAGTGATTTCGATTTCATACCGTGTCTTTACTCTTTAACCACTCATATCACTCATGCATAGTGTATGGTCCATGAAAATGAAACTGTGTTGTGGAAGTCGGATATTAGTGATTTGGAATTCATACAATTCAACTGTATATAGGTATTTTACATTATATTTTAAATAGCCATCAATGATTCCTCCGAATTTCAACAGAGATGATAAGCGTATTCAACAAAAGCATAAATGTGCATAATGAAGGATTAATGTGATGATAAACCAGAAATGCACCGATGGTGTCCGTGAAGCCAACCTAAAAGTTATACAGGGAATTGTCATGGAGATCTTACTAAAATTAAAATCTATTACTGTACCTGCTCTTGGCACCGCCACCATGCTGGAATTACAAATCTATATATGTCATGTAGTGTGCCAATGATATCCAGAGAGCATAATCAAATTGTCTGAATCTTGTTACAAATTTTAATTAAAAGAAAACAATGGGAAGCTCTCAATTTTTGTATGAAAATAAAACTATAGTTTTCTCATAAAGAAAATGCCCAAGAAAATGTACGAAATGGTTAATATTGTATTTGCTTTGCTAATTTCGAGTTTTATATGTATGTCAACTTTAGAACGTAAATCAAACCCCATGTGTTCCAAATTTAATTAACATTTTTGACAGTTGATTTACAATTTTTAACAGTTCAAAGTTTCTCATGTAACATATTTTAATAACATTGTTGATTTATTTACATATATTTTTTAATACATTCTTTTTTATATTCTATGTTTTAGTATGATAGAAAAATTATAACAAAAAGTTTAATATGACAGTGACAATTTGTTTGTTTTTTAATTTTATAAGTAAAAAAAAAATTGCTTTTTATAAATGATTCTAACAATTGTACTTTGTTTGTATGCTTAGAATCAATTATCAGTTGTTGTTTCTTTTCGGTAAATCAACAACGCTGTGCGTTCAGCTTAAAAAACCACCATTCAAGTTAAAATCTCAATTCACTAATAATCGAGATTCCAACCAGTGAATAAGTTTTAATTCTGATTATAAGAGAATCATCCTCAACTTCCCTTTTGGATGACCCTGCTTAACATGCCACTATTTCTACCTCCTTATAAAATTGTTAGTGCAAGAATATACAATGAACAATTAGCACAACAGGGTTTCATAACTTTTGTCACGTATGGTATCCCATGTCCTATATTCTGTTTAGGAAAAGAGAGACAAGAAATGTTTGCATAATTAAGATTAAGTAAAAGGAATAATAAAGTAAGTAATGATGCTAAGTGGTACCAAGAATTACATAGACTAGGACAAAAACAAGTTCCTTTATTAAAAGCTAACCCAAAAAGCAATTGATTAAGGAGGAGACAGATAAAGATGGGAAGAACCAAGAATCCGGAGGGATTTCGTGAACATTGTTTACTTAAAAATAAAAAGATCACGGTTTTATAATTATTAGTGCATTAATCCAATATATAATCCATCCTTTCTCTTAAATTAATGGCACATTGGCCCTTTTCCTATCGTAAAATAATAGGGTGAGGACACTTCCTTAATCATTACAAGATTATAATTTGGCATCCTTAGTATTCAATGTTTTCTTTGATAACACATTTTTCATGAAAATTACAGAGTTTAGTGCTTGGTCAAACTTGAGTAGGTACGTTTTTAAGACATTTAAGTAACGATTAGTATGACTAATCATTATAACTACTACTCAATATATATATATATATATAAAGAAAGGTATAAAGCAGCCTATTGAATAAGTATATTGAAGATACCAAGATGCTTGCATGGCTATTGCAGATTGAATCAACTCATTAAACTGTTGATTTGCAATTACAGCATTTCTAATTTGCTTTGGATGTTAAAAATATGTTTGGAGAAGGATCTGTCAAACTGTAATGTTGAGATTAACAGTGATTTTGGCCTAGAACAGGGTTAAGTACAAAATTTAACATCCGAATATGGATTATGAACTGATACCATAAAACTTAATTGAGAATTTAGGTGGAAACTATCTTCTAATTGAGCTGTATATTTTGATTCAATAATTTCTGGTTATTAAAAGAAGATGAAGAAGCAGAATTCATAAATTAACACCAGCATGATCACATATCATCTGGTAATTATAATGGTCAAACAGCAGCGTAAAGAAATATTGGCGAATATACCAACGAGAGTGTCATAAATGGCAAATGATAACATCGATTTGACAGAAATTTGATCGAACTTTTCTTAATCTCACTTTTTAGATCGAAAGTAAAGCTGTTCATCGTGATTTAATAAGTAAAAATTAGTTATACCCATCAAAGGCTATAAGGCTATAACAAAACATGCATGGTGCACTTTTCACTAAAGTGTTCAGTATTTGTACACATTGGTGGACACTAGACAAGAAAACGAATGGTGGTAGAGGGTGGAATCTTTGAGCCTTTTATCCTTATTGCAACCCATTGTGTAACTTGTTTCATGGAACAGCTTTTTCCATAACATCTTTCTATCTATACCTTCAGTGGTATTCTTTATATAATAAAGGGAACTATGCAGGAAACTTAAAAGATAAGAATAAGATGGATTGATTACAAAAAGGAAAGTTGAGACCGAGGGACTTGGAGTAGCAAACGAGCTACCGAAAGACAAGCAATTTACCAGAGAAAAGCAATGGCAAAAGTTCAATCCCAGTACTCTGCACATATTATATTCCTTATTTACCACCTGCATAATTTAGAAGAGATAAATTAAATACTCAAAAAGAATACACAGTTACATTCATACACATACATGTACCACGAAAACCATACCTTTATGCTTTTCGCACACCTTTGACAAGAAAGAAAGGAAAACGATGATTAGAGCAACCCCGGCTATGAGTCCAATTAGTATAGCGAGTGTCTTCTCGATCTCATCATCATTTTGATTGTTATCATCTACAACGTTCAAATTAAACAACAATATTAGACATCTCAAATCAATGGTCAGTGTTTAAAATAAGTAGCGTAATAGTAGATACAATGAAATTCATTTCTGATACGGGATTTTGCATGCCCTGAATTTTGAAATGCATTTTTTCTAATGAAATGTTTTAGTAGATTAAATATTTTATTAGTAAATTTATTGAAATAATTTAAATTATTAAACAGCACATCCAAAAATTAATAAGAACTTTATTAAGTGTAAATTACACTGTGTAATATGCTTTTTTATCCTGTTCATGTTTTTAAGGCTTTAAGACAAATGATAATATCGTTTCATGGATCGTGATTGTTCTTTCCATACATAGGATTCTTCATCAAATCAAAGCGGCACATCATCGTCAAACAGGTGCTACCATAATGTTTGAGTATATATTTACCCTGCCACAAAGACGATCCAAATACTTATGACAAGGCAATATCATAATAGATCAAGCAAAATTTTGCCTATCTGCTTTTCCCTTTTTTATTCCAATTATCATCTATTCTCCTCGTTTGCTGAACCTAAAGAATAACTTTTATAAAAGAATACAAAAGGAGCAGCGGAGCAATATAGAGTTAAAAATTCAGATACAAACCTTCTAGAAAGAAGAAATGATGATAATCACCAAATTTTGAATAAATAATTAGCCCACGTAAATCAAAGCTCAAAGTTAACCATCATATGAGTAATCTAAGGAACCCACCATCAGACACGTATAATTTTAACAGCGACAATTGTTCCAAGACCCTCGTACTCATGTCATAACAAAATCTAAATGTAGAGGAAATTTCCGATTTAGGACGTAAAACTTATACGAACCAAACGAGAGACGTCTTGCGTAGTGCGTACACAGGCTAACTTACTCTTTCTTTGGGTAAAAAATAAAACAAAATTAAACTTTTTAATTAATTCTTAACATTTTCTTTAATCAAATAAAAAAAACCACCTTTTTCCTCTCTGTTTTCTTATTAAAAAAAACCATTTTTTCACACCAAGAACGTAAATGAAAAAAGAAAAAGAAACATCTAGACTAAAATGAGTTCACACTTTGAAGAGCTTTTTGAGGTGGGAAGTAACAGCATGAATAGAGAAGTATTTAAGGAAAGTCAATTTGTAAACACAAATTTTAAAGTGTAAAAGAAATGATTAGTAACAGAGAAGCAAAGTGGAAAATGAAAAGGATCGGAAAGCAGGGTGGAGGAATCTCTTACCATTATTCCCGTGCGAGTGAGTCCCACCCTGGGAGTAGCGCGCGTAGCACTTGGCCAAGTAAATATCGGCCCAGGGGGAGGGCCCACACTCGGTTTTCAACCGTTGGATGGCATCAGAGAGACAATCCTGGCACTCGCTGGGACTCAAATCCCCCGTGCACTGCGCCACACCCTGAAAATCCCCAAACACGGCCGTCCTGTATGTCTTATAAACCGCATCGGACGTCTGCAGATACGCCAGCACAGCATCTCTCCGGGTCAACGCGTCGGAAGTCAACCCAACGGACGGTCCACATTTTTTCACCACCACCGTCTTGTCCTCCACTCCGAGGAACGTCGCATTGTCGTACTTGACGAAACACCCCTCCAGCTGCAACGCGCCGCCGCAGGAGTCGAAGCAGATCGTGCCGAGCTGCGTGACCGCACGCGCCACGCAGCGCGAGCACTGGTCGTTGCTGAGGTCGCCGCGGCACTGGAAGAGGCCGTAGACGGCGGCGCCTTGGGCGGTGAAGTTGTTGTAGTTGGTGAACGCGGCGGAGTTGACGAGCGAGGTGAGGAGCGAGTTCACGCTGTTTTCGTACGCGGAGCCCGGCATGTACTTCGGGGTGGAGCAGCCGCCGAAGACGAAGGTGTCGACGGCGGAGGACGACGGCGCTGTCATGGCGGAGAAGAGTGCGAGGAGGAAGGGGAGTCGGAGGAGCGTGTTTGCGTTTGGCATGGTGAGTGTGTGAGTGGTTATGGAGTTGGATAGGTGAGAGGGTTCTCTCTTGAGGTGAGTGTGGTTGCTTCGGTGAGAATTTACGTAAGGAAGTGACCAAGTTGATGCAAGGAGAAGGTATATATCATTGTGGAAACTCAAGGAAAAGTAGACTGCTAAATGCTTAATTGTACTTACTAATATAATCTACATATGCATATGTGTCTCTACGTACAAATATTAATATATCACTCCAAATAATACGTATACGTATAGTCCAGATGAAATGATATATATGTGATCACTATAAAGAAATCATGTCATTTTTTTATTTTTTATTTTTAAAAAGTCACATGTTTGGTATTTTAATTGTAACTCATTATACGATTTTATTAAACTATATTATTATTATTATTAGTAATGTTTAGTTTTTTCATTCAAAATTTAAATATTAATTCGAAACTTTACTCAAATAGTAGTCGCGTCTCTTGTGTTTGTTAAGGTTTTAGCAAAACTCTGATTTCTCTCGAAACCTTGGCTGAATTTCGGACGTGTGTTGGCATGAGGTCTAAGATCGGAAGTCAATTTAAATCTAGAAATCTCCAAGCCTCCCAATCCAAGCTCTAGCTCTAGGTGAAGGGAATATGGAGATTTCTTCAAATTGGCCCTATATGTTCAGAAGGTCATATCAGAACTAATGATTTATTTTATTTATATAAAATAAATGGAGCCAAGCGCCCACAATTTATATAGATTGTTAGAGAGAGTGGGGACATATTAGGTAAAATTTCTTGGTTATTATATATCACATATAAAAATGATCATGTTGGAGGGGAGGTTGGGTTGAGTTTAATGGCAACGTGTATAGGTAGAGTATTGTAGTGAGCTAATTAAGGTTGAAGTCAAAAAATGGTTAAGGGGGCTGGTAATGGTTGACTACAAATGCATCCAAAGGCCAAATGTGGCCTTGCTTTTACCTACTACTACTACTATTATTTGATCATGGAATTCGAAGGTCACTCAGACTCACAAACTTGTAACAACTACGTATGTTTAAATAACAATAACAAATACATATTAATCTAAATGATTGATCTTTGTAGAAATATTATTATTTTATAGTTGCCTACGGTCGTCACCGCAAAAATCTTTTATAATGTTGCATTCGTGTTATTTATTTATTCTGTATTTTTAATTAAAATGATTACGTTTCGGTATTCATAGTGATATTATTATGATTATTAGAAGATCAACGTGCAGTTAAAAAAGTGGCACGTCGAGTTTTGGAAGATGAGACACTGAAAAATTAATAAAAATCACAGCCATAAAAGAGAGACTAAATAAATGATTTTGAGAAGAAAAAACTATGCCACTAGATGGGTCCTGTCTGTATATAAAGTGAAGTTGCTATCTAATTGTCCATCGCATTCAGCTGTATAGACCACAGTTATTTTGCAAAATTGTGGTCATTCGATTTTCTTCCGTTTGGATTAATGAGGACACATGTATATAAGAAAACTATACTTTCTTAGAGGTTGCATTGGCCATGATAGGAACAGTTTGTTTGAATACGATGGTGTGACATTTGGCATATTTGACCCCTTTTCTTTCCACAACATCGTAATTATTTGGGTGTTAGACTGTTAGGTAATATTTAAAGTAATAATATAGTTTGTTGACTATGAAAATAAAAATCATCAATTACTCTTCACCCAAAATAGGGTGGATATTGAAGTGGAAAGAGCAGATATATAGCCATGAAGTCGAAAATGAAATGAAAGAAAAAATAGATATATGCATTTATAATTTTTCAAAAATCAATTTTAACTACGATTAAAATTAACACTTAAATCTTTTTCAAGGATTTTGTTTAAGTCTTATAGGAATACATCACAAGCATTTTATCTTTTATAAATTATGTATTTATGTTAAAAAAATTATATTACCGTCTTAACTATAAATATGATAAAATTATTTATTTTTATAATATTATTTTAAAATCATATATAAAATAATTTTTAATTGATTGATAACAATACGAAAAAAAAGTTTGAATTAGTTATTAAACTGGTATCGGCCTTGGATAACAATGTTACATTGTATCAGTCAATCGATGCTAGACTAGCAATAAAATATTTTTTTTAATCTTTTTAAGCTTGCATCAGCATACTCAACACTACTAAAATTGCTAAAATTTAAATATATATTAGTGTTGACTTGATCTAAACTAATTAATAACTTTTAAAATAATAAATATTTTATTATTATTAGAGTTGATGTATTGTAAGGGTTACAGTTGAAATAGGAGATAAGAATTACCTGTCGTTAACATTTACTTAATTAGCACATATGTTAACAAACTCCTCCACATTATCAAGTTATTAATGAAGATCGTGTTTGCAACCGGGAATTTAAAAGCCACTGTTGAAATCCTTCAATGATACCTAATCTTCTTAAACTTGGTCAAATGCTGATGGCTGTGTGTGAGACACTTCTTTTTTCTTTTCAAGTTTCTCATCCAAATTATTAGATTATAAATGGCTTGACATTTGCACATGCAATTAGGAAACTTTATATAAAAGGAAAAAATCACCTTCCTTAGTTCTGTATCTTTTATGATGAAATGTAATTTAAAAAATATTTCGTTGAATATATTTTTATATATTCTTGATTGTCTTGCTGTAACTGTGTGAGAGAGAATTCATTATCTTGTTGGCTACATCCTTTGGTGAGTTTTTTTCAAATGTTTGGATGCTGTCAACTTGTATATATATCTGGCTCTGTTTCGTTGTGCACTTTATTTCGACTATTTTTCTCTTTTTGCTTTACCTTAATTTTTTAGTTTAACTGACTTACAACTTAATTACGATCGATTAAGTTCGCAGCATATGTAACTACTTAACTGTCTTTTATTTATGTTACATTTCATTTACGTAGTTTAGTTATGTATTCTCGCTTTGACATTAAGTAGTAATTAAAAGAGTACTTTTTTTTTATATAGAACTCATTAGTGAGAAGGAGTTATACTTTTTTATCATAAAAAAATAGTTTTATACAGTCTTGTGGAAATTCCATTAATTGGACAAAAAAATATTAAGCTGTAAAAGGAATTTTTAAGTCACACAATTGCAATCATTTTCTTAGGCAAGCTAAACTATATTGATTATATGTATTTAATTAATTAAACAAAATGTTAATAAAGAGGTATATATGGTGAAAGATTTACTACATCCCTTGAAGTTTTCCAACTGCTGAGGATCTGTATACAAGAAAACACAGCTAGCTAGCCTTCATGATGCTTTAATTATTATACCTACGGACAACAATCATAGAATCACTCCATCGGTTCTACTATATTATTTTTTATCTATTAGTTTTGTCAAAATGTAGTATATATAAAATGCATGTCCTTTTTAAAAAGATAAACCTTAATTCATTTTAATGAAATCATGAAAAGAAAAATAACATGCAGAGTTTTTGAATGATCAAAAAGTATGTAACATGTTTCTCAATTCCGAAATAAGTAAATTTCAAATGTTCTAAAATTAGTGGAATAAAATTCAAGTTTGATTACAATTTCTACATACATTTTGTATTGTGCTAAAACAATAGGTTTGGTTGACAAAAAGTAAATATATCTTACACTACAAATATATTGTACAATAAAATTATTTTGGAAGAAAATTATAGTTGTATTTGCAGGATTTTAAATCAATATTAAAAAAAAAACTGAATGACATAGTATATGAATGAAGTGATACGAGGAAGAAATAAATTTATTTTGATAATCTTCTCACAGTCTTACTCAAGTGGAGTATGATTGGTTGGAGTGATTCGAAAGAAGAAATACATCTAAAACAATTAATAGAAACTAACATTTGCAATTTGCTAGCTGGCAATTGTAATTCCCTGTCATATGCTGGGCCACAGGACACCCCGTGAGTGATAAAAAGTGGTTCATGCTCGTGGGTGAAGAAAATTATTTGAGGTAGATGGAGATATATGTCGTTATTCAATTTATGCTCCATTCCCATTTTCACTCCCCTGTTTGAGAGATTAGGTTGTGTTACTTCATCTATGCATTTAGATCCTTTTGATTTCAAGTATTCATTAGGTTTCTTTCAAATTTTAATTATGATAAAGGTGTTCATCCTCACATATTTGTTGGATCCGATTAGTCTTCTTATCCTCATAACTTTAGTAGTCTTATCCTCCAAAGAAAATCTAGAACGCCAACAAAGTTGATGATAAGTCTTGGACAGAAAGTTTATGCACAAAATTCAAAGAAACATAGTAGTATTTTAAGTTCGACATGGGACAAAAAAGAAGAGGATAAATATGAGTTTACTTTTATAAATTAAGGAGAAGGTGTAATAAATAAAATAGTCAATATCTCACGTGTTGCATTTTCCCCCTTATATTACAAGATTAAGCTAAATTTTAGTATTATAAATTGAAAGAAAAGATATATTCATTTAAATATATTTTTAATTCTTATTAGATGAATGAGTTTTGATTTTAATTTTAAATTTTTCTTATACTTTTACATTTAATGAAAAGTCGAGTGATATATTTACTGTTCATTATGTCTTATAATAAGTGTTATCCTAAGTTATAGATTAAAAAAAATTAATATAAAAATAAAAGAAAATAATAATTTTATAATTATTTTTTTTATTAAAAATGATGTAATAAAATAATCATTTTTGAAAAGAATATAATGAACAGTATAAATGAAAAAGTGATCATCAATACTATATTAAAAAATTAAAATGACATTTATTTTAAGACTATTTTTTCTTTAAATGCAACACTTATTATGTAAGACAATAGTGTCAATAGTAACATATCAATATATATCACATATAAAAAATAATAAATTTATTTATATATTCAATATTATTTATTCATCTCAAAATTAATCTCAGAGATTATCAATAATTTCAAATTTTGAATGAATTAAAATCAATGAAAATTTTATGAAAATTAAACCAAAATTAATTATTTTTAATAAGAATAAAAAATAATTATTTCAAATTTTAAATAAATAAAAAACAATTTTTTTAAAAGTCCAAAATCATAATTCATTCATACTAAATCAAGTAAATTTAAACTAAAAAGGAGAATATGACAGTCAAATTGAAATATATTTTGAAATATGAGAAATAATTT